GCAGGGGGTTCCCCTATAGGGGTTACCCTATGGGGGTTCCCCTGGGGTCAAGTGGCAGGTGAGGACTTGAGGGGGTTGTAATAAAATGGCCAAAACCAATACAATATGGAATTTTGATCAATCGAGTTAAAAAAAAAAATCCTTAATGTTCAACAAAATCTTTAATGATTGTGGAAAACGTAAAATAAAGCACATTTGTTAGCACATCTCATCGTCCTGTTTGCTCTGTAGGTTGAGGGGAGAAAAGCAAAGCCCGAGTCTCCCCCTGCCTCAGCTTCACCCCTGATTTGGGCAGGAGGGAGGAGCAGGAGAGGAGTGAGGTCTCCCTCCTTGTCTGAGCAAGACAGAGCCGTGTTGAGCAGCTGAGGAATGGGAAAGCCCCTTGCCCAGCATCTCAGGGCTGCTCTGCCAAAGAGCCTTTGCTGGGCAGACCCCAGATCGCTGTCCTGCCTGGATGGGCTGGGCTGGAGCACTGTCATTCTGCAAGGATGATCCTCACCATGCCTTAGTGAAGAAGGGCTGAATGGGGAAGGGAAAATTACTCCCTGAAGTTTGCTTTCTCAGCCAGCTGCCTGTGAACAACCCAGGATTGCTGTCCTGGGCCAGGGAACAGGCTGTGCCCTGCGTGGCCGGTGCTGCAGGAAGGAGCCCCGCTGTCCTGCTGCCCTGCACCGCTGGAGCTGCTGCTGCTGCAGCAGGGGATCCACCTCATTCACTGGGACAGAGCTGCCCCTGTCCCTGCAGCCTGGGGACAGATAGCAAGGGCCTTGGGATTGTCTAATTCCGAGGCTCAAAGGGTAACATCCAGTCCAGCTCCGTGGCAGACGTTGGGGTCACAAGTTTACTTATGGTCTCAGCTCTGATTTGGTGCATCCTCATCAAATCCAGGAGGATGGTTTTTTACTTGGACTGGAAAGAAGAACTGAGACCACAGAGTTTGTGTAGAAATCTCCAAAAATCACTCCCAGTGCCCTGGCACGTCTGTGGCACTGCCTAGGCAGAGGTCAGAAGGTGTTTCACAAATGCAGCCAGGGCAGGTTTATGATCTCTGTGCCAGCATGAGAAACTGAGGCAGAGAGGGGACAGTGACTAACCCAAGGTCCACAACAGGGCCTAAACAGACCTGGGAAAGGCACAAAAAGCACCTGGATCCTAAACCTCTTTAGACAAAGACCTGTCAGCTCTGTCAGCAGCCTCTGTTTCCCAGGGCTCCCCAGAGGATCTGGTTAAAAGCGTGTGAATGACAATGTTACCTAATTCTGCTCTTTCACATCCAGGCATCTGTGAAAGCAGAACTACTCTGGTATGCCTGAGTTTGAATTTATTTTTTTTTTAAACAGAGATTTTAATATTTAGTGTTTCTGGTGTTCAAAGGTGAACAGGGCTGCATGAATAATTTCTGATTCCATTTGCTGCTGCTAGTACTAAGATTTGCCAAAAGCAGCAGTCTTGAAGGGTCTGTGATACTAGTAGAGATATGAAAATTCCCAGGAAAGGCTATTTCAAGAGCTGTACTAACCTTCTATAACTTTGACTGTGTTATTTTAAAGAAACTCTGCCTGCCTATGCACCATTTCTCTAGGAATGTAAAAATGCAACAACCATCACAAAAGCCATTCACATTAGCAGCCTCCTTGTGAATTTTAATTAACAGGAAATACCACTCACACATTGAAATTCAACATCCAGAATATCTCTGCTTCACTCCTTTGATGTTCCCCGTCCAATCCTGGACCAACATCCACATGTTCTCCTGAGACACTTGGAGGAAAATCATTTTGGTTTATTTACAGTAGGAAAGCATTTCGTAGTGTCTTTTATCCCAGAAGCATTCAAGTCACTTTACAAACCGTTCACACAGAAGAGCTGCTCTGTGGGTCCTTGGAGCAGGGAATGATTCTGGGGCTGTACTCAGATGATCTGCACCCAGCAGCGATGCTGGAAGTTCAGAAGAGAAAGGGAAAGATTCACAAAACAAACAAAAGCCCAACATGACAGGGGGAATTCAGCTGTTGCAGGTTAGACAGCCTTAGTTCCCTTATCACAGTTATGCCTCATGAGTAACTGAAGGGATATTGCTGGGATTTTTCTGTATTTCTATAGTAGAAACCTAAGAAGACATGATGTGGCTCTGTATTACCATAAGTTGTTAATTTGAATGTGATCTTAACAAGCAAAGAGCCACCACTAATTGGCTAATCTTTCCCACACTCTCAATTTCTTGAATGGGCAAAATAACATGATCAACAGGTGCTGATGATATTGCCATGGAGAAACACCTTCAGCCTTAGTGATTCTGTTTTAGCCCTCCATTCATCTTCTTTACCCCGTCATTTTCTTAAGCTGCACAGTTCCTGCACCCCACACACTACCTGGGATTCAGCTGCTCCTTTCTGACACACCCTCTCCCATCACTGTCACCACCACAGGGTTACTCTGTCACCGCAGGTTGAACTTGCAGATATCTTGGCACAAACCCACCCCGAGCACTGCAATCTGCAAAGCAGGACTGGATTCAAAACCTCTGTCCTGGGGGGTACAAGCTCAGTCCCCACACCTAGTTTGGGTAAAGCCAGGCTCTGCTTCTGGGCTACGATGCCAATGAAACCTTCTGTTGCCTCACAGTTCCAGCAAGCTGCCTGCAGGCATGTGGGGCTCTGTCTTCTCCTGTAAAAAGTCGAAATTGGTGATGTTGGAAAACTTAGAGCTTGAGCTCTACAGAGACTGGGACTTGTCAAGAAAGCAAAGTCCCTTTGTACCACCTGGGAGCCACGCAGGGCAAGAAAAGGCACCTCAGAGCATTTCTCCTAATCTTCCTCGGTTTTCCTCAAAACTCTCCCACCTACAGACAGACTTCTTTAATTTCTGAGTCGGAATGAGCCAGACCTCGAGGCCCTTGAGCAGCGTGTGACCACAAGATGTCACAGTTGCTTCGTTGCGGGGTTCTGTCCTGCCCTGCCCGTGTCCCGCTCCCAACCTTCGCCCGCCGTTTCCCGGGTATCCCTATGAACACACGAGCTACTGCAGAGGATCAGTTCTGGGTATAAAACAGACGATATCCTACCTCTAGCCTGTCCTGTAGTGCAACCTGCAGGGATCAGTTCTGAGTAGAGCCAGAGGAAAAAAAATCTGACTCTGTAAACAAACACTTGTTGATGCTGCCAGAGTTATGGCTCAGTTTCCCCACAGACTTCAGGTGCCTTTGCCAGATGATGTAGCAGAGTCAGAAAAACACTCACCACAATGTTGTGGGCTTGAGGGTTTTTTGTTCTTTATAGCCTATTGCTAATTTTTTTTTTTTTTTTTTTTTTTTTTTTTTGCTGCCCCAGAAAGCTGCCTGTGTAGCCTGGATGGGGTCCCAGGGGCTGATGTGAATATCAGTTTGCTCTGAAGTAGAGCAAGGAAGAAGTTTAGTCTTAGGAGAAGCTGATGAGCCTTGCAGGATCCAGCTATGGGCCTTTTGGGTTAGTCCCTTATAGTTGAATTCAAGACCTAATTCATGGCCTGTGCAAGCAATTGCTATGGATGCTCCAAACAAACAGCACTTTCTTTCCCGCCCGCCTGGCTGGTGCCTCTTCCCGGCTGGAGCCAGGCAGGGTTTCTCATCCGGCCCCTGTGCTCCAGGGCACCAGGAAGAAAGCTTTGCTCCACCAGCCACACGGGAAAAAACAAAACTTTTAACTACAAAGTGGAGCTGTTGAGTGGAACAGCAAGGGCAGGAGGGGCCTTGCCTGGTGCCTGCAGGAAGGGCAGAGGAGGCAGGCAGAGGTTGTGCTCGTTACTCCGTGTCCTCCAACTGCTGCTGCCGTGGGGTCTGGCCATGTCTCCTGGGGAAGGTGCTGCTCTCCCAGCTCTCTCTGGAGGGCAGAGCCCCACGTGCTTTGTCCCCAGAGGTGGCCAGGACTGGGCTGACCTCCAGCCCTTCGCCCTTTCCCGCCCAGGGGAGCATGAGAACATCCCGGGGGCCCGGTGGTTCCCAGCCGGTGGGAGGGCTCGGCTCAGCACGGGACAGCAGCTCCCTGTCAGGAATGGGCTCAGCTGGCTGAGCTCTGTCACCTCTGCCCACAAGTGGTGGCTTAGCATGAGAGTGTCTGGCAAAGGGGCAGGTTTGGTGGGAGCCAGGGAAGGTTCCTGTAAATCCACAGGCTCATAAATGAGGAGCAAACACAGTGGTTGGTTCCTGTCTCCTGGTGAGCAAGTTTGGCAGCTGGAGCTCTGTGCCCTGCACATCCTGGGGGGCCAGGAAAGTCAGTCCCGTGGGGACTGCACCTCCCGGCCTGTACATCCGAGAACTTCTCCACAGTTTGGGAATCCTGACTGTGGCTGCAGGGGATTTGCTGGCTATAGGGAATTGGGAAAGGTTCAAGTCAGAAGCTTCATTTTCCTCTGCCAGGACTGTGAGACGAGCCTTGAAGCAGACTGTGAGCCCTGCACACAGTTTCACCAGGGAGCAGCAGCCTGTCAGAACAGAGGAACAGTTACCAGCACATGGTTTGCTGGATCCTGCCATGCTCTTTGTGCCATGACTGATGTCTGGAAGGGGAAAAGCTCCCCTTCACTCTGAGACAGATTTCAACCCTGCTGGTCGCTGGTGGGCAGTGTGAGGAGTAATCATCTGATTTCCCAACAAGGGATGGTGACACCCCACGTTCCATGTGATGCTTGTTCCATCTTTGTCAGCCCATATGTTATTGACTCATTTTTTCAGCTATGTGTCATGTAAATAAGCCTTGACTGCAATAACAGTAAGACCAAAAGAGGTGTAAAGCCCAAGCAGGGCTGTGCATCCTGGCTCTGTTCCACAGTGGTGTTATTCCCTGGGCTTCACACACCAGGTTTGCCCCACTCACTTCAGGAATTGCCAGTGTTGCTGATCTGAATTGCCTTAAAACATCTTATTTTTTGAGTCCTGGCTCTCTGGTGCTGCCTTGGTTTTTTTATCCTGCCTCTCCTGACTGCCACACCCAGGATCCTCTCTGAGAGCAATAAGGCACTGGAGCATGGAGAGGTTTCGAGCAAATCTGGGGTACCTCACTGCTGCTGGGTATGTAGTGTCTTCTCTAAATCTCTCCTTCTCTCTGTCTTGATAGCTGTTGTATGGTTTTTTCCACTGAAAACCTCCTTTGCTAGTCAAAAATCTCCCTCAAAGGATAGCTGAGACTGCTGTCAAGCAGTAGGAGATGGGAATTGCCTGGCTGGGGGCAGACTCTTCTTCCCCACCAGGTTTTCTGGTCTCCAGAGAATCACTCCAGATGTAAGGCCTGAGAAATTATATTCTTTCCCAAATGTTTGTTTCCCCTAGACATTTAAATAGCTTAATGGGACCTTTCATCCTGTCTGTAGTGGCCAAATTCTTGTCCTTGGAGATTTCCTCTGGCCCTGCAGCTTCAGTGTAAAACTGTTTTCTCAGATCAGTTCTCTGTTCGTCACACTTAAACCTGTAGATTTGTGTTTGGCCTCCTCTTAAGGGACAGAGAGAGCAGAAACCCCCCTCAACTGCTTGTCATCCATGTACCACCTTGTAAATACAACTTGACTTGTAAATACAGCAGCCAGGAGCCTCCTCTTTCTCGCTCCAACATCCTCTATATAACCACTAAAGACACACTCAGCCACTGCCAATGATTTGACCCCTCTGAATGGCTCTATTACAGTTTTCATAGAATAACACAATGCTTTCCTGTGCTGGCATTAAAGGAGGAGCAGCTGCATCGTACTTGGTATTTGATCTTTCGAGAAATGCCTTGAACTTCCCTGTCCTGCTGCTTTCAGGGGAGGTCTTGGTCCCAGCTACTTACTCATCTTAGCAGGGAAGTAGAGAGGGATGAGACCAGAAGTACTCAGAGAAGGACATTATAAAGACATTTATCTTAGGAAAGCCCCCTAACCAGTGTGTTTATGTACACCCAGGTACTTGTTCTTTTTACAGGATGAGTGCCCGTGTCTACTGTGAAGACTTTCTCTTCCTGAAGGTGCACAGAACCATGGCAGACCTATGGTGGGTTTACTCCAAACCGGTCCCAGCAGATGGCAGAGAGCTGTGGACCTTGTTTCTCCAGTGTTCCTGCATTACAGCACTGATAGGAGGCCTCTTTTACAACTGGATGTTTGCTTCCCTGGAGTACTCCTGGCATCTCTCCACTGCAATGTCCATCTCCTTCAGCCTGCTCCTTCTCCTGACCCTTTTCCTGGTGCATCCTGCCCGCTGTGTCTTCAGTATGGTCATGCCAACGCTGGGCACCAAGCAAGGCCGGAAGCTTCTCCTGTCGACCTGCGTCGTGATCGCGGCGGTGAACACAACACCCAACATCGTCAGCAACATCCAAACCATCCTACAGGTCATCAAGTGCATCTGCAAGAACTCCTCTGACAGCCTTCTGAACTCCACTGCCCTGCTGCAGGCAGCCTCCCAGGAGTTTGGGGGTGCAATCCAAGAAGCCGTTTATCTGTTAACCTTTTATAAGCCCATGAACGGACATTTTAAGTTTTCATCGCTCCAGAACACCTCCTCCATATACCAAAAAATGGACCTTGCAGGTGAGAAAATCAGTAGGGACTTTTTGTCTGCTGAGATACTGGTCAAAGACTCTGTACGAGTAGGCAACAGGCTGGTTGCTGGTTTCTCCATGCTCTATCTCTGTTTTGAGTCCACCTGGTACTTGAAAAATTATCTCACCAACCTCCGCTTCGACAATTTTTACATCACCGAGAAGCTGGAGCGTTTGGCTGTGGACAGAAAAGCAGCTCACCTGCTGGTGGGCTCATCCAAAAACCTCATCCGACCGACAGGCTTGAAGCTGTCCCGGGAAGAAGGGCTGCAGTGCCTCGTGCAGGCCGTGCTGCTCACCGTGGCCCTGCTGCTGATGCTGCTGCTGGTGGCGATGGAGCACTTTGCCTTCAGCGTGGCAGACACTGCGGTGAGGAAGGCAGCTCAGTTCTCCGTGGTGCCCATCACCCTCCACATCAAATACAAGGTGGGTGCTGGGGTGCCCTGTGCTGCCCTGCATGGGGACCCCGCTGTGTGTCCCATCACAGGAGGTGGGGGGGATTACCATCTTTGAACCCTTATTTACACACTCCTGACTTTCCTGCCCAGCAGCCAGGTGGACGAGCAACAGGCCTGGGGGGAGAAGGCAGAGGCACAACCTCAGTTGCTCCTTGGAGTGCATCAAACAGCAGCAGACACCTGCTCCAAACTGCAGCCCCTCGGGAGCGAGGAGGGGAGCAAATAGTGCCTCAGGCTGCAAAGACTGCTAGCAGCAGGCAGTCAGACCTCCCTGGGTCTCCAGGTCCTTTCCCTGGGCAAGGTGGAGGAAGGGGAGTCCCTGTGGCACTGTTCCTCCACTGCAGAGCAGGTGCAAGCCCAAAAGAAGGGGGGAAGCTGATGAACACTAAGGATGTCTCTTCATCTTATTGCACTGGTTGTCTTTTAAGTAGAAAGCCCTGCTCCCTGGCTTCATTTTCCCCCTGTGCAATCCTTTTCACAAACCTCTCTAGTTCATATTTCAATAACCTTTATCTGGACTAGTTCTGGTTTGGTGTTTTAGCTTCCCTTTTCTGTCACACAGCTCTCTTCCCTCCCCAGCCTCAGGATCCTTAGTGCAGACACCTGCTTACAATGGATTTACATGAAAATAATCAGGGCTTAGGAAAAGCCTCTAATATTCAGATATGCAGGCACTAATACTGCTGTCTGGATGATGCCTTTCACCACAAATCTCACACGGTGAATACCTGTTATGATCTCTGTAGCAGCAGATAAAAATGACAGATAGGACCAGTTCTCACTGTGTCGAGTACTCAGCACCTACACTGTTACTCTCACTCAGACTGAAGTGTACAGACACTTCACTCTCCTTCTCCTAGTGCTGTAAGGTGATTCCACATCCCCAGGCCGATGTTTCTTTAGAAACCGGTTGATTTTGGTTTGTTCATACTCCATTTACCTTTTAACTCTCTTTATTTCAGGCTAAAATAGGGATCCTGCCCTCTTTTATCGAAGGTTTCGGGTTTCCTGCTGAGGAATTACCACTTCGGGATTTCGAGCAGAACTATCACCATTATCTGATCTCCAGCTCTGCCCACTGCAGGATCAGCCCCTCAGTGCCTCCCAACCCCTCTGTGCTGCTCGTTGTGGGGCTGCTCTTCTGCATCCTCTACTCCACCGTGTTCCTGGAAACCTACGCACGCCGCCTGTGCCGAAAAATCGCCGCCTCCTTCTTCCCCAGCTGGGAGGAGAAGCGAGTGCTTTACCTCTACAGGAAGCTGTCCAGAAGGCAAAACAAGGAGCAAAGCTGTGTGAAGAACTAAGGGTGCTTTGGGAAATCGAGGGGATGTCTGAGACCTGTGGCAGTGGCTTGGCACAGGCTTCTGCAAGAGCATCGCCCACTTAATTTTCCAGAGTGAGAGAAGTGTTTGAGTCTGGGGAAGAAACATTTGCCCAAAAAAAAAGAAAAAAAAAAAGTTTAAATGTCACATTTTGCATCAGTTTGAGAAAAATGGGCCTTTTTTTTTTTTTTTTTTTTTTGGTATCTAGAGGGTCTGGAGTCAGCTGTTCCAGGAGGTGGTTGGAGATGATGGCTCACATGACTTGAAGCATATCTGCAGCATTAGCCAAGGCTAACTGCTGCCTGGGAAATACATGGGAGCTGGGGTAGGGGAAGAGCTCATTCACCTCCTCCACCACATCCATGCTGGAAGAAGTACACGCTTCCTTTCTCAAGTTAGACCTTCAGGCAGCAAGAAAGGAAACTCATTTGACTCGATTAATTTAATTTTCAAGGGGGTTTTCTCTCAAGTTTCTTGCATGGAAACCTGGGTAGACTGGATAAATTTAGAAGAGAATTTACTCACCTAAGAAAGTGTCATTTCAGCCTGCTGAAGTAAATTCAAGACCAATATCACCATGAGAGGCATATCCCGGGCATGGGTGGTGGTGGAAATCAGCACATGAGGACAAAATCTCTTCAAAATGGCAGTCCAAAATAAAATATAAATAAAATAGCTGAAGGAACTCAGAAGAGGACGAGAGCAGCCAATGAAGGTCAATTTGGGTGTTGGTCTCTTTTCCCAAGTAACAAGTGATAGGATGAGAGGAAACAACCTCAAGTTGTGCCTCAAGGAGAGGTTTAGATTGGATATTAGGAAAAATTTCCTCAAGGTTTATCATGGGAACAGGCTGCCCAGGGCAGTGGTGGGGTCACCATCCCTGGAGGGATTTAAAAGACTTGTTCATGTGGCACCTGTGGACATGGTTTAGTGGTGGCCTTGGCAGTGCTGGGATAACAGTTGGACTTGATGATTTTAAATGTTGGGTTGTTTCAAACTCAGAAACTATGCCACTGTATCCAAAATGCATAAATCCATCACTAGGGCACCATCTGAAGGGTGTTATTTTTGAAAGAGAGGCAGATGGGACACCTCTGTAAGGGCAGGAGCCGGGGGGGGGGAGATCCATCTGTGCCAAGTTATAAACAAGGCAACTTCACAGCTTCATTTCTTCAAAGCATCCCTATTATTTTCCTCCCTTCTTCCATTAAAGTCTTCATTAAGGTAATTATTTGACATAATGCACCTCAACGAGATTAAATGACAGAAGTGAAGTGGCAGCTGCTGCCAGATGCACCGGATTTTCTCAGCTTCCGAGGTACTTGAAGCAAGTAGGTCTGGATTATATTTTTTTAAGCATCTATCTAAGAAAACCTTGGTGCATTCATCACCCCAGGTTTCTTAATTCCCTGCTGTTCTGATGATTAATCCAAGCACCTTTTTGCCTCTGCAGCAATAGGGGGCTTTGTCATGGGGTTTCTCTAGGAAATGCTGCTGAGTAGCCAAAATTATCTGGAGTCAGGGGTTAAAATAGAGCTGGGAGAAGAGAGGAGCACCTCCAGCCAGCTAACCATCCCAGTAGCACCTCCCCTTCCAACAAGAACATCTTTTTAAAAAGTTTTTCCTCGGGAAGACTCATCTTTTTGGCAGGAGATGAGCACTGATGATGAGCTTGTGCAGCACATCAGTCACATCATCCCTGGTGCCAACTTGGGCTGTCGTGCTGCTCCCAGGCAGGGGAGCTGGCAGGAGGTAGAGCTGCTGGAAATTGCTCTGCTCTCCTGAGAGGTGTTGTTCCTCAGATAAAGGTGTGACAAAACAGCAAACATTACCATTATAGAGCCATAGTGTGCCCTGGAGAGGTCAGCTGCCTCGTCAGGGTTTGCTTAATGGTGCGACAGAGAAATGCTGAACAGATGAACCAGCAGGCAACATTCATTTATTCACATATTTTTTTATTAAGTATGACTAATATACAAGCCTTGTTATTTGCTAAGGGATTTTCATTCCTCAGAGCCCCTCCATACTCCCACTCTCACTCCTGCTCATTGTGGCTCTCATTGCCTTTGTTTTCCCTCAGCACATCCCTCCTGTCCCACAGGCAAGAGGACACAGGGACCAAGGCTTTGCCCTGTGTCACTGTCACCCACCAGGCCCTCGTGCTGGGTCTGGAGCCCTCAAGGTGGGTCTTGAGTGTCCACCTCCTCCATGGGGAAAATCCCTGCTGGTCAGTGCTGCTCCTACTTATTTACTTATTTACTGTCCCTGACTGTGTTCTGCAGGGAAGGGTTTCACTACATCTGCCTTCCAGGCTTGGCTATTCATGGAGTTTAAAGTTCAGGGTCAGACATTCACGTGCAGTGAGGCAGAGGCAGGGCTGGGGTGCTGTGGTGGGGCTGGGGAGCTTCCTTTCACTTGTTGAGGTTTGAGGCTTCTTAATTACATAGAGAAAAGTGTTAATCACAAGAGAGAAGGGCCCCTGGGTTGCTCTCTTCTCCAGGAGTGCAATAAACCCCGGGGGCAGAAAGTCACTCGCACATGGGACGGGTTCTACCCTGAAACCCCTGATTGCCTTGGAATTCTGTGGTGTGTTTTAGTGGATTTTTCACAGGGAAAACATATGCTAAGTTCCTGCCCACAGCTGGCTGGCAGGCAAGAATGAATGGCCTTAATATACTGAGGAGCAAGTGCACATTATTTCACTCAGACAGTCTCTAGGAAAGATCTCAAAACCAGCCACAAATCTACATCTACCAGAGCAGACAGCCAAGCAGAAAAAACCTCTCTCCAGAAGTGTTTCCTGATTTTTAAGCAAACTCCATTTTTACTGCATTTATCCTATCTACAGTTTGCACTGTTATTGCTATGGAGAAGCAACACTTCCATGCACCAGACTTTAGAGAAGGAAGTATTAATGACCACAAATAAAAGCAAATAAAAGCTATTTCATAGCATTGTGCCTGCAATTCATAGCAAGGGTTTCCCTGGTCCTGGCTCTTTCTAATGCAGATTGTGTCAGGGTTTCATTCTGAACTCAATGCCTCACATTAGAAAATTTCCAAATTAGTTGTAACTAATTTCCAAATTAGTTGTAACAGTCCTTCATCCTGCGACAAAAAAAGTTGAAATGGGGTAGAAGCAACATTGGTTTTCCCAGAAGGCTGCTGAAAGCTGGGATGTGGATATAGAAGCCAGTCCTCCAGGCACCTTTCTCAGTCCCCTGATTTCCAGGTTTCACTCTGAAATCACTGATTTCTCACTCTCCAGGCACTCAGAGAAGCCCCTCCTCATCTGCAATATCCGTTTTCATCCCTTTACTAATTTCTGTGAAGTGAGAGGCTTTTCCCTTGAGGTCTCAGGCTGTGAACGCAGCAGGGAAGCAAGGGAGAGGAGAAGGGGTCATTTTCCTCTAATGTGTGAAAGTGGCCTCATTTTAATGTCTTTAAAATTTTAATTTCTTCAAAATATAGGGATTAGCTGCAGAAAGATCACCAGTTCCTCTGTGTCCTCAAGGCGTTTTCAAGACATGGTGCATCATAGATTTAATAACAATGTATCTTTAAAAGAGAGATTATACAAACCAGAGAGAAATGTAACCAAAAGCCAGGAGGGAACTGTGCTGGCCAGATGGGGAAGAGAGGAGCCTGAGATGACCTGCAGAACTGCCTGTGCTCCCTGAACCTGGAAGTAACTAACCATCCCTGTCCTTACTTGGGGCTGGGAAAGCATCATTTCCCTGTGACAGCACTGCCCTGGGCTCGATGCTACAATCAGTGACTGGAGCTCCTTAAGCCTGGCACAGGCAGGTCCATCAGGCACCCGCTGCCCGGTGGGAAATGCTGCCTGCCCCATTCCCCAGGCAAAGAGCCTGAAGATACTCTTATCTTCAAGCCTGAATTGGTTTTTACCCATAGAAATCTTTATCCTCTTCGTTGTTTTGCATTCCCTTGTCCTTCTCTTCATCCCCAAAGTTTTCCACATGCTGTTCCCTCCCTCCCACATCGTTGGCACAGATGTGATGCAGCCCAGGTCCATGAACTGGTCCCTCTGGGGCTGCTCACAGGAATCAGTAGAAAACCACCAGGTGGTTCAGTTCTGTGTGCATGTGGCACTGCCCAGTCGCTTTTGCATCTGTTTAATTCCTTCACAACTGCCTTTTTTGCTTGAGTTCAATCTCTGAGAGCATTAATCCATAAAGCCCCAAAGTGATTTGCTTCTTGGCTGTGACTCTGGAACCCTGAAGGTGATTTTGCCAGAACTTTTCTCTCCTTTGTCTTTCTGATTGAGCAATAACTGCTGCTTCTGTGAGGTTGACTCACAGCCCATCTCTAATAGCACTTGTCAGCCCTCAGGCTGCTTTGCAGAGCCATGAGCACCTTCTTTCCTGGTCCCTGTTGAGCTGCAGGGTGCAAAAGTGGGAATTACTTCCCCACCATCACTTGCAATTCAAAATTTGGCCATTGCCTAGGGGGTTAAAACCAGTAAAAAGTCCCTGAAAACCACTTGTGGTTTCTGTCATTCCATTTCTCCACTGGCACTGTGTGGATGCAGCCTCTCTGTCCCAGCTCTAACAGCAGAAGTTTTATGGGTTTAATATTTGTAGGTTATGAAGCCCTAGGGAATGGAGAGGTGTTTTATCACAGATTTGGGTAAGAGGATCACTTTCTTCCAGCTTTGTTTACTAAATATATGAAGCCACAGAGGTCTTTTCAGTCTTTCCACCCAGGTTTGTACAGACCAGGCTTAGAAATTTGCATGTGAAACGCTAGACTTGAGTCACCTATCATCAGGATGATCCTTCATATTTTGAATATGCATCTCAGTGTCTGGGATTAACAGGACACTTCTGACTGTAACTGAAATCTAATCTAACAAAAAAGCAAGCTCTTCCCTTGTCCTTTCCTCCATCCACAGGTTAGGGGACCTTTAGCGTTTAGCCCTGCAAACACAATTGCTCTTTAAATATGAAAATGCATTTTCTGAGTGCAGAGACATCAGGAGCAAGCACGGAGCTGGCAGCAAATTCTGGCTCCTACTGTCCATCAGG